GTGTGTGTTCTTAATTTGAAGTACAATGTTATAGTTTTCCCTGCTCTCCATGACGAGGTAGAAATAGACTTCAAAGAGGGTATCTGCTTATTATTTTATGTTGGATATCAATGATTTATCCACACACACACAATGCAGGTGTACAAAACACACAAGACATTAGTGATTGATATAACACGCCCAAAACTTAATTCAAGTGTACACACACTAAAATCTGTTTAAGCCAAGAGATATCATAACAGTAACAAAAGCTTCATTTAAGACAAAAGTGCGTGTGTGTGTAAGGTGGGGCGGGGGAGGGGGGGCTGCTTAGTCTATGCAATGGTATGGAACAGAGAGGGTGTCTGGACTTAAGTAGACTAGGCTTACGTCACACAATGCGCGAATACAGTGGGTTTGGTACTCGATTTCTATGCGACTGACTCATTTAGCCATATATCGATACCGACGGGTGGGGGTTTTTTTTTGGTGGGGAGTTCATGATCCGGTTCTCTGACTGATGACCTATTTTTTTGACCGGGGGGTGGGGGGGAGGGGGGGAAGAGACATATTCAAGATCCCCTGAACCGAAAAGAGCCAACCGCCGTGTACTTCTGCAAGATAACGCAATGCATGTCTGACATGCTGTACCGGAGACATTTTGGGAAAGGAGGAGAAGAAAAGTCTTGATTCCGCTGTGCGTACTTAAAAATGGTGAAATGATCTAAGTTTAACTATACTATCAACATTATTAGGTCGTTTATGAGGCAGGACATCTGAGTTTAACGTCCATCTCCGAAAGGACTGAGCCACTTGGAAAATGTGTGTGAAGTGCCATTTCCAAGGACACGACGTCGGACCGAGCTGAGGCTTGAATCCCCGAACTCGCAATCTCACGATTATGAGTCCGGTAGGAAGGGCGCTTATAAAAGTAAACTTCAAATCGTGCATTAGAACTTAAGCTGATCCAGCATGCTTAAGACGACCCAAATCTTTTTCTGCCCTGGAATGAGGAGAGAAAATGAGAAAATCCCATACTTAAGAATACGCCATCTCCCTTTTGGTCAGAGTTGTACATTTAATGTGGTTCAACGTTACTTCAAAGAGTCGTTAAATATTTTTCATTATTGTAACTTACAGTGTGTGTGTGCATGTGTCTATGTGTGTGTATGTTTGTTTGTTTGTTTGTGTGTGTGTGTGTGTGTGTGTTTTGTTGCGGGGTTTGTTGTTGTTGTTGCTTCGGGGTTTTAGTGTTTGTTTGTCTTTGTTGTTGTTGTTGTTGTTGTTGTTGTTGTTGTTATGTTGTTTTTTGTTTGTTGGTTGTTGTTGCTGTTTTGTTTATTGTTGGTTTGGGGGGTTAGGGGGTGGTGGGGGAGGTGTGTTGCATGTAGGAGAATCTATACAAAAATATACTTTAGTAGAATATTCTGAGTCAGTACTTTTAAATTCGTCTTTCTGAAGAAAGGACACGTCATGATCTTGTGTAGAACACTCAGCTCAACGTATTCCACGGACATTGGATTTTGGGCCACATTCCAACTTGAAAGAACGTAAGCTGTTAGACAAGAGTACAACATGGTAGCGAGTGCTCTGGTCTGGTTTGCTCCTTCTTTCCTATCAAATGTCTATCGTATTTATCCCTCCTCCTTCTTGTTTGTGTTTGTTATTCTCTTCTAACACCTCTTATCTTCGGCACTTATATGAAAAAACCATATTGTGTTACAAGTGCCGTAAAACACTTATTAAACCTAACTAAACTAGACTACACCACAACAGTGTGTGCCGGACAGCTCCAAAGATGGAGAGAGGCAGTTGGTGGGGCGGCCAAAGGAAGACTGTGCACTACTCCGTCCATCCTCCCCATCCCCCTCCAACCCTCTCACTAACCTTCATCCCCCCCCTCACCCATTTCCACCTCCTCACTAACC